TTTTAAGAGGTGAATATAATGTGATTGTTCTTTATGTATACTACTTTGGAAGGAAATAAGTATAGCATTTGATGAGATTTGTGAATATATATATATATATATATATATATATATATATATATATATATATATATATATATATATATATATATATATACATATACATACATACATACATACCTGTGTGTGTTGGGTTCAAGTGAGAATGATCCTTACTGCGAGAATAGTCCTTATCGTGAGAATAATGCATATTTATGCCGTCACAATGCATTTTTACATTGTGGTAGTGCATTTTCGGGAGTAATGAGAGTAAAGTTCAACTTATTTACTATAATGTCACCACGTTTTTTTAGATTTTTTTTAGCTCTTTTTGAATTTTTCAAGCCTTTAGATCTTATATCTAATGCACGAGATGCATTCTTATTTTCATTTATTAGATCGCATTCCCACTTGATTACACACACAGATATATATGTGTGTGTGTGTGTGTGGTGTTTTTTGGCCTATTTTGAATATGCAAAAGGGAAGGGTGTTGAATGCCACGAGAGTGACATTCACCAAGGAAGGAAAGAATGAATTTTGAGCGCTACATGTAGAAGCTATACAACATTGAATGGAGTGGTTTGGTTTTGAATAAGGATAAGAACGTCTTTTTTCGCACACCATCAACCCTCTATTTATAGGGGGAAAAATGCGAAAGTTCGAGATCGGAAAGAACCTCCTATAATAGGAGAGACTCTTAATAGAACTTGCGGTTGATCGTAAGGGTTTGAAATTATACGATATTAGACGTTTTTGGGTGACGTGTCGCTTGCGGTTTCCATCCCCGGTTGAGCCATTCTTATCTTTATTTCCTAATTATTCCTTGGATACATTGATAAGCAATGTTTTTTGAGGCGGGTTCTCTTGCCACTGAGCAATAGTGCCACTGACTTTTTGAAGTACCTGCAGTGCCCTATTTGCAAATTTAGTGGTTCTTACTATACCTCTCTAAACCTTACCCTTACCCGAGAGAGCTAAAATGTTAGGAACCATCATATCACTATTTGTTAAAATAAAAATCTCAATATGTATCCAAAATTTGAATAGTACATGAGCGAACAATAAACAAAATATTCCAAATAAACGATGCTCCAAGAAAAATATGGAGTAAAATTTTTTTACTACGAGTCTCTTTGGAAAAGGGGGACATTACTTTCTGTAGTCATTTTTCTAATTTTTCAGTGTTCGGAAACGTAATCAAAGGAAAATCAATTGTGGTCGTCAAATCAAATGGAAAATAGAAATCACCCTAGATAGAAGGGCTAAAACATAAAGAAAAGTACTAAAATAGAACTTTCATTTTTTTTTCCGAAATAGGACTTTGCACGGTGGTAATGTGGTTTTGCACTGTGGTAATATGACAGTGTACATGTGCACATTACTATACTTTTTTGGTAATGTATATGACCATGTTTGGTAATGCAAGTCTTATTTCGGGAATAAAAATATGGAAGCCCTATTTTAGTATATTTTTAATGTTTTAGTCCTACTATGGTCTTTCTATTAGGTTTCAAATCTTGAATTTGACTTCCACTTTTTTATAAAGTCCCATCGCCTGCACGGGTTTGGCATCGCCACCGCCCCACCGCCATCGCACCCTCCTTCCCGGGCTCCACCGCCGTCTGTGTATGCAACGTTCCCTTCGGTTACGTTGTTTCTCCATCGGATAGGGTTCCAATCTTTTTCCAAAACTCGTATTATTGAAATCATTTTCTTCCTTTCAAAATATTATTATCTTCTGTGAACATGCATAAATACTCCGATCCTTATTAGAATTATTTCCTTCGTCCGGAACTAATTCTATTGTTTTGATTTTTCCTCATTTTTGATAACTATACAATGTATTTTTTTTACATATCGGAGTCAAAATTTACAAACTTTGACCAAAAAAAGTCAAATGAGATGAACATTTCCGAACGAAAAGAGTAATGAAGAGGATGATATTTTTGTCGAAACACACATGTATATTAAAAAGATGAATTCTTAAGTGGGACTAAACTTCATATTCCCTCCGTCCTCAATTTGATTACAATATTTTTTTCACTCCTCTCGATAATTTTTGTTTGTTTACGCGATTTTATTAAGTATTTTGATAAAATAAAATATTCTTGTTACTTGTTTTGTAGAATTTTGGACGTAGTTTTTTTTAATATGTACAAGTAATTTTTATTTCTTATCGATATACCAATTTAAAAATAAAATAATTTCAAAAAGTGAGATAATTCTCCTTGTAAACATCAATTTGTAATCAAATTGGAGACGGATGGAGTATTTATAGGGTGTTTGGGAGTGATTAACTTATGGATAAAGTGATTTCCACAAAAACTGAAAGTAGAAGTACCTCCTACATGCTTCTCCGAAACGGTGTTCTATGTACAAAATAGTGGTGGTGAAAAGCAGAAGCTGACATGCCAAACAGAGTAAAATCACTTCTAATCAAAGCAGAAGCTAAATGATTAAAAACAACATTTCAAAAAAGCACTTTTCACTGACGGCATTATCGTGAGTACGTACTCAACTCTTAGAAATGCTAAAGCCCTAAAAGTAAAAAAAAGTTTAAGTTGGCCACCAAAATGTGAGTTAAAAGTGGCGATAAATGCAAACTTAAAAAAAATGAAAATAGAATGTGTATCAAAATTACTTAGTAACTATTCTCTCCGTACCTAAATGATTTACACACTTTACAATTCAAAAATCGTGAGAACCTTTGTTAATTTGCGTGATTTCATTAACTATTAGATGATGAAATAAAATATTCTTGTCACCTCTTGTTTTGTAGAACTTTTGATGTATTTTTTAAATAGTAAGTCTAAAATGACACCACTGCTACTGGTGTCATTTGCTTACACCAGTTCGTTTGGGGTACTACGGTGTACTGCCATGG